TTTCCCTGGTGGTACACTATGATTTTCTTTATCTTTTGTAAATGTGCTATAGGTTTTTGTTTTGTGGTTACCATGCTGTTACATAAAACATCTGATAGATATAATAGTCTATTTTAAGCTGATAGCAACTTAACTTCAATTGCATACAAAAAAATCTATGCTTTTACTCTCTCCCTTTTTAATGTGACAATTTACCTCTATTTATATTTTGTATTCCTTAACAAATTATAGCAGCTATAGTTGTTTTTAATAGTCTTTTCCTTTAACCTTTACAGTATAGTTAAATATTTAACACACCATCCTATTACAGAATTAGAGTTTTACAATCTGACTATGTATTTACTGTTACCAGTGTGTTGTATATTTTTGCATGTTTTCAAGTCACTAATTAGTGTCCTTTTATTTCAGCTTGAATTCCTTTCAGCATTTTCTGTAAAGTGGGTCTTGTGGTGATGAATTCCCTTAGCTTTTCTTTATCTAGGAAATTCTTTATTTCTCTTTTATTTCTGAAGGATAACTTTGCTGAATCTTAGTGTTAATATCTACAACATAGCTCAATAAATTTTCCTAACATATTTTGATTCATTAGTATGTTATCTACCTATCTGAATTCATGCCCCAAACTTTTGCAGCCTTAAACATATGAATTCACTTTTGCCCTGTAAATTTATTTATTTTATTGCTATCTGTACAACTTTTCATTCCCAAAAAAGTTGGCAATGGAATCCTGCGTGAAATTAACTCACCTAAAAGAATGAAATTAAAGTAAGCTGTATTTAATTTACAGCAAATACATGTTTCATTTAATTTATAATATCTAGGTCCTTTTTCAATTCTAGCATTTCATTTTGGTAATTATCATTTGAATTAGTAATTTCTTACTTTGAATTAACTTTACATTGGTAAACATATTTTGAACTTAAAAAGCTCTTGCATTTCTTAAAGTTTGTCTGATGAACATTTGCCCGTTTCCAAAAGTTACATTAGTAGGAGAATGTCATTTCATTTTTGAGCTTTGTATTCCCAACACCAATCCTAATTGGGTCTGTGGGACACTGTCCCTAACACACCAGCAGTTTCTCCATTCCGCAGATCTCTCATTCCAACTTTAAATTGCTTTGGGAATTGGGGGACAGTTACAACAAGTGTTGCATAACGAATACGTACTCTTCCACATCTGTGGAATCTGGCATTGTTTGTTGAACCTGACTTTAATTCAGCATGCTGACATAAATTCCAAGGAGAAAGTAACTGGTTCTTCTAGGAAATGGAAATAATTTACCAGTATGAGGGTAAGTCCTAAATATCATGAAACTGTACCTTTTCAATCTATAGATGAAGCTATTATTCAATATGCATTTATAATGTGAATAACCTGATGCAATACAGGTACCAATTTATTATCACCAAAATACAGCTATGAATCATTGTTATTATTATTTCATTATTATTTGTATAATGTCTGTTAATCCTTAAAGTAATTCCATATGCTATCACATTATTTCTGACAATATCCCTGCAAGAAAAGTAAAGCAGGTATTTTTATCAGTATTTTACAAATGATAAAACCGAGGCTATAAATTAAAAGCATAGAACCCCAGTCAAAAGACTTTGATTTTGGTCTGAGGCACTTTTCCACCATGCTAACCCCATGTTATCTATATTTTAATGAGTATTAGGTGATCCTCTACACTTAGAGTGTATAAATTGGTAATTATCTGTATAAGATGGCAGCTTATTAGTACTGACTGAAAGATACTTAAAAAAAATATAGCCTTCTTCAAAATAACAAATGTGATGTATTAAAATTTTCCTGATCATTAGTCCACAAACACTGCACAGGGAAATTTCTTAAGAGTTTAGAAAGTAACCCTTCACCTATTCAGTCAAAACTCATCTATTATGTGCAGCTGGTGTTGGACTTAGGTGTTAGAGGGATGAGCAAGACAGACAAGCTCCTTCCCACATGTCTCTTGTTACCTCACAATATCTCAAGATAACCAGTTTAAAGTGCTTGGAGCAGAAGTAAACCTAAGGTAGCGAGACAAGTCTGGCTCAAGGTGAGTTTGAATTAGTGAGGGGATTCCTACCTAGGAGAGAAAGGCTTGGAGCAGGTGGCAGGGAGAAGCAGTTTAGGCAGCTTCACAGGCATTGTCATTACAGTTGTCTGGAAAAGGAAGCCAACAGACTCTCCATGCCTGGACCCAAAGGTCCTGGCCTGGAACACCTCTGAGTGTCCTGGTAAGTAATGTCTTGCTGTCTTCTTCCCTTTGCATTAATAACTGAGCTGATCACAGTGCTCATGTCCCTTATCCAATGCATCCTCTGACCAATTTCTGAGCCCCATTTGGGAAGAATTTTTATTTTTCATAAGAAGTAGTATAGAATAAGTGTAGAATGATTGCCCCTTTCTTCTGAGCACAGTTGAATGAATGTAGTGAATTTGTCTCCGTGACCCCAATTTTTCTATGGTTCTCGATGACCATTCCCTATTGTTGACATAAGATTTCTGTGCAAATTTTAATGCTACCAGTTAGGTATGGTAGTATAATAAAGAGAAGGGCTTTGGATCTTTCCTCTGACCATTGTTAGCCATGCGACCCCAGCCAAGTGAACTAATTTCAAGCCCAAAATATGGCACATAGGATCCTAAAATAAGAATTGGCTACATAAATGAAACAACAATCTCTCTCTCTCTCTTTCTCTTTCTTCTTTAAAGGAAGTTCTGGCATTAAGCTAAATAAATAAACATTAACAATCTCTTTTGGGCTAATTTTTTTCATCTGTAAAATTGAGATTTTATATTCCTTTCTCTTTCTCTTCAAAGTTGAAATATTCCTATTGTGTATTCTTAGCTAAATTTTTCCTGTAGTGAGAATCTCTCTGTCGAGTTGGACTTCTGACTCTAAGTAATATTTGTTCTACTGTAATTTTCCCAACTGCTATCACACGGCAAACTAAGTGGCAGAGTGGGGGAAGAGTGGGTGGGCTGAAATTCTCAAACCTATTAGCCCATATGAGGCCTAAACTGGTGATTCTGACCAATGTCAAATCTGGTGGTGATTACGGAAAGATCAATTTTCACATCTAGCCAGAAATTAGTGACAACCACATTAATCTAAATAGCTAAAATCCTTAATTCCTGCTCCAAAATCTCGTAAAATCATATAGTATGATGTCATGTTTGGAGGTACTAATTATCACAGAGTCTAAGCACTCACCCTTGCTCTGTGCTTTCTAATGATGGATCCTTCCCACCAAAAGAAGTGCCAAATTCTCTGCCTAACTTTAGAGCCTTTCCATGCACCTGCCATACTTTCCTTCCCAGGTGTGCTTGCCATTACTCCACAGAAACACCCTTGTCCAAAAAAGATGCACTGCCAATTTGTTTACTCCTAACTTTGGCTCAACTTCTCACTTTTGGGATGCTCCACTTCCCCTCTTTTCTTCCAAACCTGACTAGTTCTTTCCACGTTTCCAGATCTGGCCTAAGTCTAAAACTCTTCCTGAATGCTCCCTTGCTTGATTTATTTCTCATAAACTTCTTCCTTCTGGGAAAATCTATAATTTTAACCCAAGCTACATAATGTAATTATAATTATATTTATACATTGTATTATAGTATATTTTCATATTTACTTTTCCTATATCCCTAACTGAATTGTGAGCTTTGTAATGGCAGATACTTTACATTATTCTTTTATTTATACTTACCGTGCTCGGAATATGACTGGGTTCAAGGTAAGATGTCAGTAATATTCTAAAACTATTGTAGTAGTCTGGCACAAGTTTAACCTGCTTTTTTCAAAAATATGTCCTTTAATAATATTTTTTTCTTAAGCATATTTAACAATATGATATGAATATGGACCTTTCTGTAAAATAAAAAGTATGTTCTTGACATTTTCCAGGTTGGCATGCCAATCCATAATAAGGTAAAAGAAAATCTATTTGGATCAGAAAAATCTGAACTATCTGCCAGTACAGCGTACATTAAAGCCTTCCTACTCCAAGTGCTTTCAAGACCTGTTTCATACGTATCACCTGGGCACTTATGAGAAATGCAGAACCTCAAGAGCTGCCCTGAACACTAAAACAGAATCTAAAGTTTTTTAGGATACCCAGATGACTCATATGCAAAGGAAAAATAGTGAAGCTGTGAATTAGACTTGATCTGAGCTTTGAGCTCCATTTTATTATTTACTTAACCTTGGACAAGTTTCATCTTTTATATTTGAAAAAATGAGGATAATATAAAGAATGATTATATTTTGTAAAGCATAAACTGTTGCATATGCACACATGTATACACAGTTATATAATATATTTAAACATTATTACTATTTTCTTAGGTTGATTTAAACGAGTAAATTATCAAGATACACTCCGAAGCTAAAAGAATAAAGATAAGTGAAGAAGAATAAAATAAGTGAAAAGACTAATGTTCTCCAAAGATTGTATGGAACATTCACGTGAAGCTGATCTATGCAATGGTCTTGTCAGAGGAACAGTCACACAAAATGCTAAGGGGGCTGGAATATGAGCTCAACAACTAACTACGTTTAAACAGATGTTAAATTTCAGTTTATGCTATTCAATTTATTACTAGTAAATGTCTATGAAATACACAGTTAAACTGACTGATATAAAGTATGCAGTATCAGGCATAGAAAGAAATATGCACCAAAGATATCAAAATTGCTGTGAAATTTTGACCATCCTTGTTAATTGCTGAATCTAATTTTCAGTCCATGTTGAGTAGTCTTTTGCCATCTCTACTGCTTGCTTCCTGGGTCAGATGAAGAAGTCAGTCTTATAGCTGGTAATTAGGAGTTTTAGAAACCTTAACCCAGGAACATGTCCTCAACAGCAGGAAAGGTTACTTCTGTCTGGTCATAGGTGGATCTTCACATATTAGCAAAGAACATAGGTACTTTCGTCATTCCCAATTTCATTGTATTCTAGTCACACACATTGTTGAAGATAACTGGATGTCAGTGCTTCAAGCAAACACTCCTGATACTACACTCTAAAAAAATGAATTGTTCAGGTAATTTGTAACATTTATTTCTTGGCAGTGAATATATTTTATATCAGATCTTTCTTTGGCAACCTGAAAGCAGATGACATGGATAAAATTAACCAAACATTTGTATTAGAATTTCTTCTTCTGGGTCTTTCTGGATACCCAAAGATTGAGATCATTTACTTTGTTCTAATTTTAGTTATGTATCTACTGATTCTAACTGGCAATGGTGTTCTGATCATAGCAAGCATCTTTGATTCCCGTCTTCACACTCCCATGTACTTGTTCCTGGGCAACCTCTCTTTCCTGGATATCTGCTATACAACTTCCTCTGTTCCCTCAACTTTGGAGAGCTTAATTTCAAAGAAAAGGAACATTTCCTTCTCTGGATGTGCAGTGCAGATGTTCTTTGGGTTTGCAATGGGGTCAACAGAGTGTTTCCTCCTTGGTATGATGGCTTTGGATCGCTATGTGGCCATCTGTAACCCTCTGAGATACCCCATCATCATGAGCAAGGTGGTGTGCATACTGATGGCTTCTGTGTCATGGCTCTCTGGTGGAATCAACTCAATTGTGCAAACATCTCTTGCCATGCGATTGCCTTTCTGTGAGAATAATATTATCAATCATTTCACATGTGAAATATTAGCTGTCCTCAAGCTAGCTTGTGCCGATATATCCCTCAATACTGTCACCATGGTGATATCAAATATGGCTTTCCTAGTTCTTCCACTGCTGGTCATTTTTTTCTCCTACATGTTCATCCTCCTCACCATCTTGAGAATGAACTCAGCCACAGGCAGACGCAAGGCCTTTTCCACCTGCTCAGCACATCTGACAGTGGTAATCATATTTTATGGTACCATCTTCTTTATGTATGCTAAACCCAGGTCTCAAGACCTCCTTGGGGAAGACAAGTTTCAAACTTCAGACAAGCTCATTTCTCTGTTTTATGGGGTAGTGACCCCCATGCTAAATCCTGTAATCTATAGCTTGAGGAATAAGGATGTAAAAACTGCTGTAAAATATCTGCTGAACCGAAAACCTGTTCAATAAGTATTTCCTATTCAGAAAGTATAAATTTTTGTGTAACAAGTACAAAGATGGACTCACAGATAAATCAGAAGAACATTCATTGGGGAAACCGTGGTTAAGGGCAGATGTTTTTTTCCTCCCGTTCACTAGCCCTACTCAGCTAGAATTATTGAGAACAATAGTTGGTTATAAACTCAGCTTCCAACCTATCCCGATCCAGATCTCACAAGCACAATGAATTCCATTAGAATCTCATTCCTGGCGATATCTGAAATGAGTGTTTCTGGTGTATTATGTGGAAACGTAGTAGAAAACAATCACACATAGCTTTGGAAATAGAGAGACAAGAGTATAAAATCTGCAATCCCACAAACTACCTAAATGACATTGGATAGACTATTCTTTGTAAGCCATAGTTACCTTAACTTGTAATAAAGAAATTAAAAAAAAAAAAAGTCCCAATATCGCTTAAAGTTTCAATAAATTGGAGAAAGCACCTAGCATAGAAGCAGCTTCACAGTGTCCTAGAACTTCAGAATTGAAGCTAAGACTTTAAATTGAAGAGTAAAAGTTACTACTGAGCGCCTCTTTTACCTTAAGCTAATAATTACGAGAGCTAGCTATCTGCCCCAAAAGTCACTCTGTTAATTTAAATCACACCCTCCTTGCCCCTCCCCTCATATCTGTATAAAGAGAAGTTCAGGCCAGGAGAAGAAATAATCAAGGGAGTGTTCTACCGATGGAGAGTGTGCAATGAGTGGTGGGAGGTGGTCTCTGTGGAAGAATGGGAAAGTTGTTTATTTCAACCCAAGGCAAGCAAGTGGCACTGCAAAAGAGCCTCTTAAGGTTTTGAGTGCCTGCAAAGAAAGAGAGTCTGGCTTCTGGCTTGATGAGTGGAGGCCTGCTGAGCTCTCAAGGCTGCAGACTAGCAGAGGAGCTAGTCTAGAAGAGGGAGGGAGGGAGGAGGGTATTCTATGTCAAAAATAACTAAAAACGTTTCAAATCTGCCTGAGGTGTTCTTACAGACTCAGAAAGTGATAAAAACAGTGATTTGGGAAATAAAGTCAGTTCTTGTCATTCTCCAATGAGCTGAAACTCCTCGGTAAATCTATTATAGTTTTTTTCTTTTTCTGTAGATTCCTTGGCTAGAAGGCCAACACTGAGCACAGGGTATCCTTGGGCTGCACCATCCAGCTTTCTTGTAGTCTCTTGGCCCATTATGGTAGCTGGGCTTTAATTTCATTTTCCTACTCAAGTTTCCTGTTTCCTATTTGACTTAGAACCACAACATGACCCTGTCATTCTCTGCCAATCCACTTCTTTCAGATTGACTCAGGTTTCTACTTAAATGATCTGGTCACTAAATTCTGCTATCTGCCACCGTCCCACCGGAGTTGGAGTCTTGTCCCTGCAGAAAGCCTCCAACTGCTGTTCTGTCTCCTCTGGGTTGGATCACATTGGCATTGATTTTGGTTCTATTCAGAAAGGTGTGTACCAGACCATGTGGGTGATGGCTTTTGAAATTCTAGCACTTCTCCTCCTCCCTCCTCACTAGAGGCCTTACATTTGTAGCTTATCCTTGTTTAATTCTTTTTAACTTTTGATCTATGACAACAAAGTTTTAGGCATATAAAAATATTATTTATATTGTTTTAATCAACTCCTTAGCACCTTAATTTTTAATTTTTCCCCACAATAGTAAGAATGTCAGCATCTTATATGCAGGCTTATATCAAGTTGAAGTCTTCACTGCTAAAATATTCCATAGGTTTATAAAAGTGAGTGCAATAGGGCTTTGATATAAAGAAGCGTGTTCGTGTTAATGTTCAAAAAATTAACAGATTTGATAATAAAATGCCATCTCTGGAAAATCAGGAAATCTACAAAAGATTGTTAGGTATATTATTTTCTGATTAATAAATAAATAGTTTTAAAATTCAAAACAATATCAATAAGTGTAAAAAATGTTGTTGTCACTATGGTCGCCTCCCAAAGATATTAATTTAAATATTTCTTTTGGTAAATAGGAGTCATACATTCATGTTATTATTTTGATTTGTCACAATGTACTATGACCACTTGAGTTTAAAGTTTTTGTTTTTTGTTTTTATTTTTTGATGTATAACACCTATGGTTTCACGGGATAAATTTTAAGAAATGAAGTTAATAGGGCAAGTGATATGAACTTTCTCAATTTCTAACTAAGCTACCCTGAGAAAGGTCATATGACCCTCCCTAAATACCATTATAAGAGTTTCCCCAAAATGTTTACAGGTGTTTTTACATACATACATACACACACATTTATCTCTCTATCTGTATATACATACACATTTGTATATATTTTTTCTTTAAAACATAGTTTTGGAAATTTTCATTTGCAAACATTTAACAAAAGAGTGAGAGTAATATTTAATAAATTCCCATGTACCAATCACATGGCTTAAATAATTACCAACACATGATCCACTTTCTTCCTCCAGATTATTTTGAAGCAAATCCCGGACATAATTACAGCGTTTTATCTACTTTATCTATCTATCTATCTATCTATCTATCTATCTAGATATAATGTGTAGACATGCACGAAGTGGCAAAAATAGATTATAGATGTAATGTGTAGACCTACACTAAGTGGCAAAAGTCCATGTGTCACCATTCACATTGCTTATGAGAATATACTTTGTGGGGTACATAAACTATGATACGAGTGACGCTTTCTTCAGTTAAGCAGTAGGAGAGTACTGGTGAGGACCATGAGCAACAAAAAAGGCACGTGAACCATGTAAAAGACATTATTTCTCACTCCAGTGGATTGTTGCCATGAGATAATGCAGGCTGTGTATTAACTAATTTTCTAAACTTTGAGGGAGGCCAGATTTTAAGATTAAACATTGCAGCACTTACCCAGGGTTGGATAGTTTAAAGAACACAAGGCTTCAGAGTGTATACTCATGTAAGGCTAAAGCCTTTCTATAGAAGTATAGAATATGGTCCTGCTGGAGGAAGGAATTTCAGGCCAAAAAGGAGAATTCTGAAACTTCACTGGTACCTCCCAGGCCAATTTGAGCAACTGTCTCTTAGAACATTTTAGTCCATGTTGGTGTATATACCCAACATATTGCCGTTAACTGCTTATTGAGTTTGAGTACATATTTTAGACCCAAAATGTTGATTTCCCCATGATACTATCATAGAGATAGTAGTAACCTCCAAATATGCTTCAGTTAGAGTATGCCAAAGAGCTGCCCATAGGCTCCCTTTATATCAGCAATCACTTTCCTTTCTTTCCACTTTTCATTAGTTTTTACCCAGATTATCCTCCTTGGGGTAGGACTGTTAGATTCAGCTCGAGGACTGACCCATAAAGCTAGCAGCAATTTAAATATGGTCAATGATTCCCGCCTTATCAAGGTCATCATATAGACTAGGGTTGGATAAGTACAAGCATATAGGCTTGCCTCATCGACCAGGAAAGAGAGAGACACAAACCATTCATCCCATTTAGAAAAAGGTAAAAGGAGGAATGGTCTATGTTATCCTCCTTTTAGGAATATGTGCAGTAATGTTTAGACATATTGTCATCGTGTCATGTTCAGCAATTTATCCTTCCTCTAGAACTCATAAATGCAACCCATGTCCCACCAATACAGGATCAAATCACGGAATGAAAAGAAAAATTTTTAGAAATATAGAAGAAGTGTCTATGGGTTCCTGTATCACTCCCACCATTTTATTCATATCTTCCCTCCAAATATCTCAACAATATATCCAATGGTGATCTTCCTTTAATTCCATGTATATTGTTTTAACACACATTCATTAAGTCCTCAAAACCATCCTTTTAGTCTCTTATCACCCTGCAGTTTTGTAAGTAGGGATTACAATAGTCCATTCCAATTTTTATTAGTCCACATTTTGCGGGTGAGAATGTATATGATGTCTAATGCTTTGTAACTTCGTGAATTTCACTTGGAGTGTCTTAATTAGATGATAAACATCCAAATTAAATAATACTCTTGCTCTAGGCCTTAAATAGTGGTAGGAGTATTTGCTTCATTTGCCAGGTATGCAAATCCAAATCCAGAATGAATGTCTCTCAGTCAAGACTCGTTATTTATCCAGAAATAAGGGTAATGGGCCAGTGTAATCCACTTGCCTGCTATGACTTCTCCTGGATCCTTTCAGTAGGTAACTCAGAACTGCTGTTAGTCTCAGACTTTTCTGCTGACAGCATAACAATTGTGAGATACATTTCTAGCTACTGAGAGACACAGTGAGATGCATATTTTTTGCACATGTTGTTGCATTGCTTGAATGCTTCCATGCCCTCTCATCTCATGCCCCCAAGAGGCCACTTCCACAAAGAGAATAAAGGCTCCCATCTGTTGTTTCTAGTCCTTTTATGAATTCATAAGGAAAATTTTATGATAGCCATAGATATTTCTAACTTTGGTTATCCCTCTTCAAGTCCATAAAGTGTTCCATAACATACCTCCCCATATAGGAATCCTATTATCTTCCAGTCATGTAAAGCCTATGTTTTCAGACTGTATTACTAGCCCATTAGCTGCTGTCTGAGAATCAGTGAAAAGTCATACCATATCATTATTCTCATTACCTGGTTCCTCTGAAGAGTGAGGAAGAATGTTTTTTCATTCATCGTAATTAAATACTAACAGTGACTTTGTGACTTTGGAACATTGGTTCATCACTTTTACCTCAGTTTATTTATCTATAGAAAGGGAAGTCTAACTAAATGATTTTTTACAGAGTTTTCCAGCTCTAAACTTCTATGATCTTGCAATATAAAAACAACTCCAACATATTTCTATTTGAATTTTAATGTACACATGGTATAGTTTGTGGCGTGTGTGCGTGCAAGTCTGTGTGTTTGTGTGTATGTGCATGCGTAAATACTGCTCTTTCTTTCTTAAGTAAATTTTTATTTCTCAGAATCCAAATATTTTATTTAAAATTTTTTTCAGCTTTATTATGTTATGATTGACATATAAAAATTG